GTTTTGGGAGAAATGTCGAATCAACAGTTCCCTGGAGTTGAGGAGATTGCAGGAAAATGGCGTTGTCCACAAAAGAAGAAAGGGAAATCAGTACCGCCATTGAAGCAGCTTCGACTTGATGCTTGGATTTATAAAGTCTAAGTCTTTGAGGAAGCTTCAGGCTTCACCAACAATGTATTGCATTCTTTCCCTCTCCTTTTGTATGTTTCCCTATTTGTGTAATCAAAATGGGTACATAGCCCAAACCGGATTAGACCGAATCTAATCTCGTTAGATTTTTTCTATCTTTACACTATCTCAAACCCGAATCGAAATGCTGACAAATGTTAAAATTGCAATGGATAAGCATTGACAAATGTTAAAATTGCAATGAAATACCCATCAAGAAAGCCTAAATTATTTAACTTTTATTGTTTTAGCTAAAACTTTGGACCTTGAGAGAAGCTTTTTAAAAATCAAAACTTTGGACCTTGAGAGAAGTTTTTTATGGTTTTACGGTGAAGATGAGCTTCGTCAAGTATCTCCGACGAGACAGTTTGTTCCGATTTGCCGGAAACCCATCTCTTAGTCGAATTCACATGCTCCAGACCTGCCGGACTCTCATCATTGAAACCGCTCCGCCTGAATCGGTCAAGCTTAATCGTCTCTCTGGTTCCGATTCCGGTAAAATTTCACTTTTCCTTGTGCTTTATGGGTTTCGTTGATAATGGTGATATTGTTGCTGCTTGAAAGTAATGAGTTTCGTTGATAATGGTGATATTGTTGCTGCTTGGAAGTACTGGTTTTTATTGAACATTTTTTAGTAATTCTTTCTATCTGTTAGGGTTCATTGATACCTTTTTGTGGGTTGATTGTGTTCGAAATTAAGTGGCGATTTTTATAAATCATTTAATAAATACAAACACACAAATTCTATTTACTACAAATGCATTTCAATTCCTAAAAATCCAATTTCATTTCTACAAATCCATTCAAATTCCTAAAAATATATTCTATTTACTACAAATCCATTTCAATTCCTAAAAATCCAATTTCATTTCTACAAATCCATTCAAATTCCTCTCTAGTTAAATGCAGCAGTGGTTATTTCTGGGTATTTAATTTTGATCTTGTCCTGAAAATATTTGTACATTTTGTATAAGTGGATGTACTAGCATGGTTATTTTCTGATCAATGTGTGGACTGTGGACTTTAATGTTTTGGATACTCTTTCTGAGTTAAGACTGAATCTTTTATCATTCTGTTTGTATAAATTGATGCTAAAGAGAAGATGACAAATGTAACTGCTTGTGTGTTTGTGAATTACAGGGATCATCGAGGTTAATCTAGATAGGCCTGTCGCAAAAAATTCCATTAATAAGGAGATGCTGAAAAGTCTCCAGAACACATTTGAGACCATACATCAAGATAGTTCCGCTAGGGTTGTGATGATTAGAAGTCTGGTTCCAGGGGTTTTCTGTGCAGGTGCAGATCTGAAGGTAGTTTTGCCACTGTCGTTTCTTACGAATGTTCACATGTAAATTTGTTAGCCATTCTTGAAAGCTTTTGTTTGTTATATTTGCTTGGATTTCAGGAACGTAGAACTATGAGTCCATCTGAGGTTCACACATATGTGAACTCTTTGCGCTACATGTTCTCGTTCATAGAGGTATATTCTCATAAATCCTTGATGGTTCTATTAGATTAGCTACAACTTACTTTGAAAATAAGATTAATGGTTTTAAAAGTGAAGATGAAGGTAATAGTGGTATACTGACATGAGACTATTCTAAGGACTAGTTCCTTTATTTCTATGTGAAAGCTTTAGGATTTGAGTCTCGGTGAAATTTGCTTGCTATAGTGACTTTGAAGACTTGTGTTTCATAGGCACTGAGTATTCCGACAATTGCTGCAATAGAAGGTGTAGCACTGGGAGGTGGACTCGAAATGGCTCTATCTTGTGATCTTCGGATTTGTGGTATTTTATTTTCATATCTTGTTATTTTCTTATCATATAATTTACCTCCCGGGATGAGCAACTAATGTTAGTACTTGGAATTTTTCAGGTGAAAATGCAGTATTCGGTTTGCCTGAAACAGGACTCGCTATAATCCCTGGGTATAGAATAAAGCCTCATCGCTCTTGACAAACGATTCTCTTATTACCATTCTTCTGATAATTTATTTATTTCTCTCGGCTGCTATTCAGGGCTGGTGGGACACAAAGGCTCTCGAGGCTGGTTGGGAGATCGGTATCAAAGGAACTTATATTCACCGGTCGAAAGATTGATGCAAGAGAAGCTGCAAATAAGGGTATGCGACTATTGAAGTTACATTTCTCATAACAAAACTGTGAACTTGTTTTTGACTTATACTCATTTGAAGGACAATTCATATATTCTCTTTTTTTTCTTTGGGTGATGGATGCAGGACTTGTGAATTTTTGTGTTACGGCAGGCGAGGCACATAAGAAAGCAATTGAAATTGCTCAGCAGATAAATGAAAAAGGTCCACTGGCTATAAAAATGGCGAAGAAAGCGATCGATGAAGGAATAGAGACGAATATGGGTTCGGGTTTGGAGTTAGAAGAAATGTGTTATCAGAAGCTTCTCAATACTCAAGATCGTCTTGAAGGATTAGCTGCTTTTGCTGAGAAGCGTAAGCCTCTTTATACTGGCAAGTGAACCTTGTCACTTTCGTTCCAATAACCGGAGGGTGTTAACCATTGAATTTGATGTTAATAACCGGGATGGTTTAGGATTATAATGTGCATGGCATTTGAATTTCACGGTTTGTGTTTGTGCATAGGATCTATCAACGAGAAGAAATAAATAAATAACAAACTACAAAACAAAATCATTATTTTTGGTTATCAAACAAACAAAAAAAAACTAAAATTTAATCTTTTTGAGACTTTGGGTAGCTATTATTAAAATCGTAGTGGTGGAAAGATTCGAAGTTTGGTTCCTGAATCACGAAGAGTGAGTGTTCTAAAGTCACATTTGTAGTATCTTAAGGTTGTACTTTGTGCGTATTTTCTAAGCAAACCATATGGTATGTTTATTTTTGGTTTAAATTAAAACATTTGCTTTGCACTTTGTTTTTAGAGTTGAAGAAATGTTGTTTTCAATGGGAATGGATCTAACTTTTTAATGCAATGGTGTGCATACAAAAGTTATTACAGACTCCATTTTAATTTGATCGATGTTTATCATAAAAGTTCAAGGATCAAGAAAAATAAACTTGGAGTGAATAAAAGTAGCCGACCAATTATCCACCGCCCCCATCAAAGTGTTGCCAAAATGATGTGTTGATGATTAGACTCTTTACAATATTTCTCTATCTCACATATTAAGTCACGTTTTCACTTAACTTTTTCTTTACCTTCCACTTTTTTTATATATATGTTGGCAACAAAAAATTTTCTAGTAGTTACAACATGTCAATTTTATTTCGGTTATTTACCATAAATAAATTAATGTTTTCGTTACCTAAATAAACTTCTAACAACACATACAAATTCAACTAATCAAACCCATTCGATTCAACAACATAAGAATAAGATAAAATTCTTTTTTTCTTTCTATTCCCCTTTTGGATTTTCAAAGTTCATTATGTTCAAAAGGTATTAGATACCTTATCAGCAAATTTCGTCTTAACATAAAAAAAAAATATAGAAGTAAGAAAATAATAAACGTTATTATTATTTTCTAATATTCCCGAAGTCAAGTTTGAATGTGTTAGATCTTGCTTTCAAGTATTTTTGGTTAGTAATTGTATTCCTAATCTAATTTTTGCAAACAAGTGCTACGTAATAAAGCTTAGCGTAAACGGACCAAAAGAAGCGAATCCAGATTCCTCCAGGGTCATGCCTACGCGACCTCTGCAATATTCTC